CCCCCATCGAAGTCCTAGGAGGGGGTTGTTGATGGTGGGCGTTTTCCTCCTGTTCCTTTCATTCGATCTTTCTCTTTCGATTCAGCCAAGGATTTTGCGGTCTTCCCTTGCTTAGGTTTAACAAATTGAATTGCCGTTGGGGACTTGGAATGCATCTCAATAAGCTTCCTCTTTATCTCCTCCAAGCTCTCAAATTAGCCCTAAAATAGGTTTCCCCCCAAGAAAAATCTTCTTTCTATAATTGAGAACCTTTACCCCATCTTTCATTTAAGTTGGCTCACCTTTTTTTCCGATTTATTCTCCAAAGCATCTACTTGTTTTGGTTGTCATTCCTCCCCGAATGATTTTCGGTCACGACGGAGAAACTACTGTATGTTGAAATTTCATCGATGGCTTCCTAGATAGTTTGGATTGGGTTTGTACGTATTTTATTTCATTTGTACCATGCAAAATCTTGTGCACCACAATCCCTCTTCTCAGCTAGCACGATTCATGACCATCTTGCGGCTTTGGTAGAGGAGTGTCACGCGTAACATGTACGCAACATTTCTCCCCATCAAGGTCGAATCACAACTAAATCACGATGGGTGGTCGCGAAGGAGCCGCCTGTAAGCTGCGATCCCTTCATTGATGCGACCATGAAGTTTCATTGATGCGACGATGAACGTTGCAATTGCATTAATATGTCAAAAATGTATAAAAACTTTGCATGTGTGCATCTATCATGTACAAAAATGAGATATGTCATCTACACATATAGAAAAAAAAAACGTAATCTTTTCATCTGTATGCTTTGAAAGAAAAGTAACACAAAGGTTCTAGATCGATGAAGGTTGTATGCGATTCTGTCATGGCTTCTCGACCAGTGAATCACGACTATTTTGCGTGACCTCTTCATGAAGCCGGCGCGCCCTAGAGGCCACGTTCCTCTTTCGAGTCGAACTCTCTGATATCAGTTTGGTAGAAAATTTGTTATAGAAATTAGGGCAAAGATATTTTTATTTCAAGAACATCAAACAACGCAACACGAATACATAAGTTAAGCACCTACAATTCAGGAGGTTGGCGATCTCTCCAAAATTCTGCAATTTAAGAGATAAGAAATATCTTATAAACCCTAGCCCAAAGACTCAATACCCAATCTCATGAATAAACCTAACCCTAAACTATTAAGCCCTATTTATACCAAACAATAATTAATAATAGAAGACTAAATTCCCCTGAGGCTAATAAAAGAAAATAATGCCCTTATGCTAGGCATCGACATAGCAAACTCATAATGTTGTCTTATCAATTTAGGTAGTGCAGGCTTAATTATCGTCTTATTGTTGTTTAGCTATTCTTTTTTGTGAATGTGCTCTTAGCGCAGAAAAATTGTGCGTAATTTCTATTTTCGTACGAAAGCTCACAACTTTTTCATTTTCAGACTCTATCATGAGTTCTGTATTTCACTAATATAAGACACTTTTTTTTTCTTAAAATTTGTTTAAACTCCTAAAATAAATTACTTTTATTTAGCAGAAATCTAACCCATATAATCTGGTGAAATTATCAATAATAATATATTCATATGACTTACCACCTAAATTGATTGCATCATTTAGTCTAACTAGATATATGTGCAAGATATAATGAGGTTCTTGACATAACAATAGATTTAACAGACTGAAATCCTTGTTCTTTACTCTTATTTGAAAAGCATCACACAGATGGTCTTTAGTAAAATCAATTTTGATTTCAACCTTTACCAGTTCTAGTTGAGTGATATTTCTAAGTTTGTGCATGCTTGCATGATTTTATTAGTTTTGCTAATTTTGTCAAAAGTAAGCATATACTCATTATTGTCGTATATATCTAAATTAGTTTTATTTTTCATTCAAATTAAACAACCAAGATGAAGTTAAAAATTTTATTAAAAATCCTTTTTTTACAAAGTTCTCAAATTCTATGCAAGTTATGTTACAAAAATGCACTAAAAGGATTCTTTGAATAATAAAACAATTGCTCTTACTGACATTATCAATGCCCATGATTTTCCTCCTAGTGCTGTTATCAAGAGTAACTCTGCCAATGTCTTTTAATCAAATATAATCAAATCCCTTGAACCTTTCTCTGTCGTTTCTATACTAACTTTGACCATGCAACATTCCAGACAAACTTTTGTGAAATCTCTCGAGCCTTTTGTTAAATGGCTTGAAGAAGCTGAAGAAGAAGAATAAACCACAGGAGCTAGCAGGTGGATGCTGTTGGGGACATGCTTTTATCAGAGTAGCATTCACAGGGGGAACATACTCGCTTTACTTCAATGAGTGTTTCTGAATTTTTAATGACATGCTTGTTTAAATATTTTAACTCTGATATTTATTAATAATCTGCTTATTTGGATTTTTATCAAGTGTGCAACGAACCCCGACAGAGTACGATGCCATCTTTTAAAACTGCTTAGATTTGAAGGAAGGCCACCGGAATGAAATCTAAACAATTTGTCTGTTTATTATTAACAACATATCATTGATTAGGGTTTTTTGGAACTGTTTCATTTAAGGTTTTAAAATAACAGTATTCTCACAGCCCAAGTTTTTCGATCGAATGCTTTTGATTGTGGATCGTGGAAGCGAAAACTGCGGGCGTGCGGAATCATCTGTTTTGAGGCTGTGTTTGGGATCACTTTTGTTTTTGTTTTTTTGTTTATTATTTTTGGTTTCATTTTAAAATATATTTGTTTGGTGTATATATTTTGAAAGTTCTTGTTTTTTGGTTTTAAAAAATAAATTAGTTTGTTTTTTAGAAATTTTAAAACATGTAAAAATTGTTTCTGAGTGTTTTAAAAATAACTGAAATAGCGAATGTTTTAAGTAAAATATAAAGAAAATAGACAAAGTAAAAGTTGAAATCAAAGGTGATACCAAATTGGGCCCCAAATATATTTTGTTCTCTCTTTTTGCATGCTACAGCATGTAAATTTTGTTTAGCTTTTCAGACGTCATCCTAAGCGTACCAATTTCTTTCTTTGCTGAATTGTTCTGAATTAATTTTAGCTCAACTTCAAATTAGTTGAAGGAGCGTGTATTTGGAGAAATTATTACATATAAAGTACTTACGTAGTCCTGTGTGCGGATTTTCAATAATATCGCAGCGTGAAGGTTATTAAGATGTTATTGAAGTGACGTTGCGGAAATTTTTGAGAGATCATTGAGGTGTTATTATGAGATTATTGTGGAAGTTATGCAGGGGGCGGAGAATATTGGGGTGTTATTATGAGATTATTATGAAGTGGAACTGTGGAGGTTATTGAGGGTGTAATAAAAGATGTTATGGAGAGATTATTGCGGTGTTATTAGAATTAATGTTTTAATAACTCAACAATATACCCCAATTATCCTCTCAATAACTTTCATGGTTTCACTTAATAGTCTCAACGGGAGGTGGGCCTGATATAGCACATATGGCGGCATATTGCTGGAGTACCCACGTAGTGCTGCGTACGGGATCCGTATGTAATAATTTCTCGTATATTGGAGAGTAGTTTATGAGAGGATCAGATGATGCATTTTCTCGTGTTTTGTAAATGGTAAGGTGGAAGCTTTATTTGAAACATATTTGATATGCTGTGTTTTTCGAGTTGTCCATGGAAAAAAGGCATTTTAAGAATTGCTTTTTCAATTGGTTTCTTCACGGTAGTTTTTCAATTTTGTCAAGTACTCGAGTGTATTGGGAATATATTTTTATTAAAAAAATATGAAACAAAAAAATAGTTTAATGATAATAATGACGGTCAAATAATAAATTTAATAATATTAATGGCTATTATTATTTAAGGTAATAGTACATCTCATTGTTGAATTAAACGCTAATTAATATCTTAATATGATATTGGAGATTAATACAGCTCGACCTTTTGATGGGATGATTTTTGTTTGGCAATTTATGCTTCCTTTAAATAATTTTGATTACTCTTTTAGTTCAATTTATAATGTTAGTCAATAAAACTATTATTAGGATATGATTTTAAAATATAGGCACTCTCAAAATTAATGATATTAATAGATATTATTCTTCATAGAAAAATGAAAAAAATATTGCATCAGTACTATGCACGTAAAGTAACGTGCGTAGCCAATGAAATCATGCCACGACACCCCGCACAACAGAGAAAAAAAAAAACGGCGCGGTAACACGAGGAATATTCTCCCCGTGTTATTCATGTGTTATTGTGTTATTCATGTGTTATTGATGTGTTATTGTGTTATTATAACACCAAGAATATTTTCAGGACACAATAACACATGAATAACACACAATAACACTTGAATAAAATGGGGAATATTCCCAACAGAAAAACAGCGCAGTAACACGGGGGAATATTCTCCTTCGTCTTATTCATGTGTTATTGTGTGTTATTGATGTGTTATTGATGTGTTATTGTGTTATGTTATTGTGTTATTATAACATTATTATAACATCAAAAATATTCCCAGGACACAATAACACATGAATAAGACACAATAACACATGAATAACATGGATGAGAATATTATCCGTGTTACCGCGCCGTTTTTTTTCTTTGTCGCGCGGGGTGTCGTGACGTGATTGCATTGGCTACGCACGTTACTCTACGTGCGTAGTACTGATGTAATATTTTTTTTAGAAAAATAGTTAATGCATTCAAGAAACTAAATGAACAGGAGAAAAGACTAACAAAAGTGATAGTTTAGGCTTTAAACTTTGTTCTTCGTTTGACTCTTACTAGAAATAGTATAAGTGTAATTATAGGTAAGCGTTCGAAAGATAATGCCATAAAAATTAATAGAATTAGAGATAAAATTTTATCGTGGCCTTAAAGATTGTTATTGATGGTAATATTTTTAATGTTATAAGATATTTGTGCAAAAAAAAATTTGGAATGACCTAGAAGAATAAATCCAAAGGATACCTCTTAAAGAAAGAATTTTATTGAAGAAGATTTAAATGGACATGTTAAATATAGAATTTTGATTTTGTTAATGATTTTATTATTGTCAATACATTATTTAAGAAAAAAAATGAGTGCATTATCACTTATAAAAATGCTTCTAATAAAACAAAAATTGATTTGGTTCTTGTGATAAAAAGAGATCATTGAAATTGTAAAGATTGTAAAGTCATTTAAAGTAAAAATTCAAGTACTCGACATCAATTATTGGTTTGGATTTTAAGATGAGGGTTCGCAAATAAAAAAAAAAATACAACTGAATATTTTCATAAAACTAGATGGAAACACTTAAAAGACAAATAAATTTATTTTTATGGGTAAACTTCATGATCTTAAGATTTGGGATGTTCATGAAGAAGTTAAAGCAATGTCAGATAGACTCTTTAGCAAAATTAAACAAGTTGCAAGAGATGCACATGAAAAACAAAAAGGAAAAGCTTTGAAAATAAGAATAGTTTGTAGTGGAATAATTATGTACAAGAAAAGATAAAATATTAAAAAATTTGTTATAAAAAATTATTTAAATGTTAGTACTTAGAGAATTGGTAAAAGTATATGACGACTCATATGAAAATATATAAAAAGTTTAAGAGAACAATTTGTGATGTTAAGAACTTTACTTTCGATGATTTTTATAAAAGATTAGATACTAAAGAGGGTAAAAGATATAAGTATAAACAAGCCAAACAAAGAGATATGAAAAGTAAAAATTTAGTTCAAGTGAAATGCATTAAGGATGAAAATCAAATAGTGATTTTCTTAGATAAAGATATTCAATATAGATGGGTGAGATATTTTAATAAACTTTTAAATAAAGATTTTTAAAAAAATGACCAATTTTTATGTTCTTAATATAGTTAATAATAATAAAACTTTTTATTTTTACAATCACATTAGTAAAACAAAAGTTGTGGAAGCTTTAAGGAAAATGAAGGGCAAAAAGGTCAATAGGACCTAATGGTATCGTAATAGAAGTGTGGATTTTTTAGAGGATTTAGGAGTTTCTTGGCTTACCAAACTTGTTATTATTATTATTTTTTAAATTAAATAGAAGGCAAATGAGTGGAGGAAGAGTATTTTGATACTTATTTTTAAGAATAAAGGGGATGCATAAGAGTGAAAATTATACATGAATTAAGTTATTGTGTTGTACATTAAAATTGGGAGAGAGTAATTGAACATAGGTTAAGATGTGATAAGAAGGTTTCTTAAAATTAGTTTGAATTTATGCCAGGCAAGTATACTGTGGAAGCTATACATTTATTAAGAGGTTTGATGGAGAAGTTTAAAGAACATAAGAAGAATCTTCATATGATTTTCATTGATTTAGAAAAAAGCTTATGATAAGGTACCAAGATAATTACTTTGGAGAGTTTCAGAAAAGGATGGTATTAATATGACTTGTACTCTAATCATTAAAGATATGTATGCTAGAGCTGTTACTTATGTTATGAAAGAAGGGGGATTGACCAAATAATTTTCTATTTTAGTTAGATTACATCAAGGAAAGGCTTTAAGCGCATATCTTTTTTTTCTTTAGTTATGGATGTTCTTACTATACATTTACAGGAGGATGTATCTTATTGTATGTTTTTTATTGATTTTTATTTTTATTTTATTTATTTATTTTTTATTTTTTTATGTTGTACTTCTGTTGGATAAGACTGGAGAAAAAGTTCAGGAGAAACTTGAATTATAGCTGTCAACTTTAGAATATAAAAACTTTCATTTGAGTAAATCTAAAACTGAATAAATTGAATTTAATTTTAGTAGTAGTAGATTTAGGGAAATTGATCATCTTAGATATCTCAAGTCTATTTTTCAAAGCCACAATGATAGGAATGTTATTATTAAAATCCAAGTTGGATGGTTGAGTGGAGAAATGCATCAAGCTAATTGTATGACAGGGAAAGTACTGCTTAGGCTGAAAGGAAGTTTTGTAAGATGGTGGGAGACCTGCAATGCTTTATGGCGTAGAATGTTGGCCTATAAAAGATGAGGATAAAATGAGTGTTGCTGAGATGAGAATGATTAGGTGAATGAGTGGATATACACTTAGAGACTAAACGAAAAATAAATATATAAGTAAAAGGTATAGCTCCAATGGCAGAAAAAATTATAGAGAATTGTGTTGAATGGATTGGTCACATTAAGCAACGATCATATGAATATCCTGTTAGAAGAGTAGATTTTTAGATTTAATTTTTGATATGAAAGTTAGAGATAGGCCTAAAAAGACTTGGGCATGTTGTATAAAAATGATCGTAATATATTAGAATTAATTAAAAATATGACACTCAGTTGGACATAATTGAGAAAAAAGGATTCATTTAGCTAGCCTCAGTTAGTGGGAAGCCTTTGTTGATATTCTAAGTATACATATTTGTACACCAAAAAATATGTCAGCATGAATCCCG